ATATATTTTTCGGAAAATTACTTGAGAGAAAGTTGAACCTCACAAGGACTGAACCCGAGCCTCAGACGAGGCAATCGGACGATTGACTCTTGGCGCTTGTTGGATCAGTCTGATTGGTTTTTAGGAATCGCCTATACAATCTATGCCTATACAATAATACCTACAATATACATCTTTTTCCATAATCAAGGCCGTCATTCAGGAGCATTTGTTGGCTGTAAATACAATTTTTTGACTATTGTTCTTCATTTTTCGGTTTTGTTTCAGTTAGAATTGATCTCATTGTATCTTCAGTTTGGAACACAGTTTTCACTTTAAATTTTTATTTTATTTTTTCAGATATGCCTGGAATGTATGGTATTATATTTGTCGTTATTGATGTTTGATTTTGATGTGGTGAGCCTTGTTTGTTTTCAATTTGATGAATCGTCTTATCGAAAAAATTCTGTTGGAGAACATTTTTAATGTGATGGACTTAATTAATGAAAACATCCCGTAACTCATTTGATTGCCAACGTCACCAATTGTCACTGAGAACTGAAAAGTTTCAGAACAAATACGAATTTGCCATAGAAGAAATCCATTTTTTATGTTGAAAACGAGAGCAGATTCGTTCCCGAAACGTCCAAAGATAAGTAAAAATGTGATATTTTCCAAAATACCTTTATTTCTCTTCTCCAAACCTTTTTCAATACGAATTGTCACTGACAAGCTAGTGAATTTTTCTTCTAGGCTCCCTGTTAGGAACATTTTTTAAACGCAGTGACATTTTGGGGCAAATCAATCTACATTTGCTGCCGTGTGAAACATAGAATTTTTTCTCCAAATGATATAAAACCAATTTGGTGTCATTTTATTATTGAAAACTCATCATCATTTTGTGTTCACTCAATGTCAGTGATTACTAATTTCATTAGACTTCCTTGATGGAACGTTGCATAGCAACAAACTCCTTCTGCCTAGGTAGTAAAACTACACCTTTTCTGCCTGTTAAGTGGCTGTAAAAAGCGACTATCCCTGCCGCTTGAAGAAAAATAACTATTTTTCACAGTCATACTATCATTTATCATTACCCGTGCTGCAATATGTAGGTATCTTTTGTCTCCAGCTATCATTTCATCAGACATTATTGGTGATAAAAATTACGGAGATTAGACAGTTCACTAGGATTAGCAAAACCTTGAACTATTCATAACACTTTCAACACTGATGGGTGATATTTTGAGTTCAGTGCAAAACTTTTGAATATTGAGAACAAACGGCATCGTCGTAGGTACACTGGACCTGATGGAGACTCAAATATTTGCCATTACTTCCAGTAACTACATCATCCGAAAGGTGAAGGAGCTGAAACTATATTTTCAACATTGTTCACAAAGTCAAATTTGAAACGAAAAAAAATACGTATCCAAGTTTTTTTCTTGAACTGTACGAGAAAATAATAATCCCAATAGAGGAAATAGGAAACTTAATATTCAAATGTTGTACTTTGTTTTTATATTCAGATTATTTTTAAATTCCAGTTTTGTACTTGTAGAGGTTATTGATAAGAATGTTGTTTTTATACTCACAATAAAGGATATTTATTGATTGATTGACTGTTTATTTATATAGATAGTAAAATACCGACATAACCGTAAACAATCCGATTATATTGAATAATAACTATACAGGGTGTTCATTTCAGGACTTCCCACCCTAATTTTCTCGAAATGTGTGAATGTTTTTGAAAATTCCCGAGACACGTCAACTACATTTTCGAGGGGGACATGGTTCTAAAATATTTTCAGCCCCGCGGCGTTGCCGCTTCTAACGAAAGGAAGCAACAACTTTGTTATTTCAAATGGAACACCCTGTATTTTATTGCATTTTTAGATTCTCCCTGAAAAGCTGATTTCATCAATGTATCACACTTGGGGTCTAGCAGGAATGATTACAGAGATATAGGGTGTTCAAAATCGAGATTTTACAATTTTAGGATTTTTTTGAGTCGAAACTATTCATTATTGGTCAAAACGGCTTTTATGTCCCTATCTCAACTTTTGATTTACTATCTACTGACATTTATTTGAAACAAATACAGGGTGATCAAAAGTCTGAATCTTGAACCACCCTGTATTTGTTTCAAATTAATGTCAGTAGATGGTAAATCAAAAGTTGAGATAGGGACATAAAAGCCGTTTTGACCAATAATGAATAGTTTCGACTCAAAAAAATCCTAAAATTGTAAAATCTCGATTTTGAACACCCTATATCTCTGTAATCATTCCTGCTAGACCCCAAGTGTGATACATTGATGAAATCAGCTTTCCAGGGAGAATCTAAAAATGCAATAAAATACAGGGTGTTCCATTTGAAATAACAAAGTTGTTGCTTCTTTTCGTTAGAAGCGGCAACGCCGCGGGGCTGAAAATATTTTAGAACCATGTCCCCCTCGAAAATGTAGTTGACGTGTCTCGGGATTTTTCAAAAACATACACACATTTCGAGAAAATTAGGGTGGGAAGTCCTGAAATGAACACCCTGTATACTTATTAGTGCACAAATACCTAACTGTAGTTGTTGGATGAAGTCAAGATATAATGCGTCCAGTGTATTGTTGATATAGTGCACAGCGCCAATGATGAAACAACTTATTATCAACCTCAAACTTTAAAATAATTATTATCGATAAACGCTTGATAATAAAACCGTCATAAAAAAACTACGCACGTATGGTGGTGCGTGGAACGCTTGGTGATACGCTTTGATACAAAAAATACAACTAAACTGGTCAACAATGATAACGTCGTAGTCCAAAATATAGCCTGAATAACTCACGAATTTCCTTACCAATTGGAAATCGGTTTTCACCAATAATTAACCAAATCTCTTGACAGTTTGTACTTGAACTTGTAATTTCAGATTAACGTTGCTACAGGATAATAATTGAATGGGTATAAAATTGCATCGTGGTCGTCACCTTACCGTTTGAACAGATCATTTTTTCTATTTTTTTTCTCACCTGTATTCTCTTGATTGATGCTTCCTCTCAAAACGTTTTCGGAATTTTCAAATTCAGAGCTTTGATAATCGTGTCATGAATATTCATTCAAAATGATGCATTATTTCGACGATTAATTGAATGAAATTGGAAGTTGGAATCATTTTCCGAAGAATCAACGTTGTATGAGATCGTCGGATATGTGATTGTGTTCGAATTCTGAAGAAGCCTATACAAAGTTATATAAGAAATACTGAATGATGGAATGGGGAATACCGTAGTCATCAACAGATGAAACATAATTTTCTCTGTGTTACTAAAGAAATGATGGAGTGTTACTTCGTCATGAGGATGTCTGTTGTCTGACCTCGAAATGGTTTTGTAATTTTTGTAGGTACGCATTTTTAATCAAAATGATGCATTTTGTTAGATAAATTATGAAGTTCAAAAAATAACGATTGTGGTTCCAGAAGTATGAAATTTATATTTATTCTTGACGATGGATATACAAGTTGCGATAAAAAATATGTCCAGATTGTCCCGGGATGAAGAAGAATATGTTCAAACGTGATGAAAATCGTTATTTTCCGAAAAAGAAATATAGTGTCGGTCATTGTTGCCGTATATTCGTGCATACTTGTTACCGTTGCATCTTATATACTGATCTAGCACCTACAAAATGGTCTTCAGAAGGACAATTTCCTCATTCATTCAGTGTGAAGTTGAATGGGGATGAAATTACTCTTGGATATTCATTTCTGCATCATATTTTTCACAGGGTGATTCATAAGGAATTTATAATATCCCACCTACTGCTATAGATTCGACGAATTCTGTTGAAAAAAATAGCTTGTCTAACTCATCCTTACAATTATTGCTATTTTGATTTTTTCACGTCAGAAAAAAACTTATTGCATATTGAATTGACATTCATTCCAATATGTGAAGTCTCTTTCATATTATACCTCGTATAAGCCTCATATGAGGACTTACTGATGTATTTATCTTCATTTGTATAAAAACATTTCATCGAATCTATTGCAATTCTATAGTCTCTTTCATATTTCCTCGAATAAACCTCATGAAAAGTTACTTTACTTATACATTTCACAATTTTCGACAATGTCCGACACTGTATTTTAATTTTTCGGATCAAAGCGATTTTTATCACGTTTGAACATATTCTTCTTCATCCCGGGACAATTTGGACACATTTTTTATCGCACCTTGTACATCCATCGTCAAGAATGAATATAACTTTCATACTCCTGGAACTACAATCGTAATTTTTTGAATTTTATAATTTATCTTAACGAAAATGCATCATATTGATTAAAAATGCGTACCTTCATTATATGACCTTCGATTCAAAAAAAATCAAAACCGTTTCGAGGTCAGACACCAGACATCCTCATGACGAAGTAACACTCCATTATGTCACTAGTAACACAGAGAAAAGTATGTTTCATCTACTGAAGATAACGTTATTCTCCATTCCATCATTCAGTATTTCTTGTATCACTACTACCTCAGAATTTTATGGGTTCGAGCACGATCACATATATGACGACTATACATATAAGGTTGATTATTGGAAAAAGAATTCCAACTTCCAATTTCGTTCAATTAATCGTCAAAATAATGCATCATTTTGAATGAATATTCATAACACGATTATCAGAGCTCTGAATTTGAAAATTCCGAAAACGTTTCGAGAGGAAGCATCAATCAAGAGGATACAGGTGAGAAAAAAATCTGTTCAAACGGTAAGGTGAAGACCACGTTGCAATTATCACCCTGTAGCAATTTTATCTGAGATTACAGAAGTTTCATAGTGCCACAAAAAACTGTCAAGAGATTAGGCTAATCATCGGTGAAAACCGATTTCAAATTGGTAAGGAAATTCGTGGGTTATTCTAATTTGACTTCAGGCTATATTTTGGACCACGACGTTATCAATGTTGACCAGTTTATGTTAAAAGAGAAAATGAGATGCGATAATCTGTTAAATACGTACCTGGTATAATTTAATGATGTGTGGATGATCGAGTCTCTTCATTATATCTACCTCTCGATACACTTTCTGAAGGTTGCTCGCATCTAGTTGTGATTTATCGATAATTTTGATGGCAACCTGCAAAGATAGAAAATATTGAGAAAGTTATTAGACAGGAGAAAACGCGGGAGAAATTGATAATTATTGTTATGGTGTAATGTGTTTTCTTCACCATAAGGAACACGTGAAATTTTAAGATTCATGCAAATTAAATAATTGACTGTCAGCATGATTATAGCATGATTTTCATGAATATCATCGAAAATCTTTTCTACATTGAGAAAAATAAACATGAATGAAAGCGAATTTGAATTTCCATGAAAACGGATTGAATGCCTGGCGGTCATAAGACTAGTATTATGACGTCATTATATTAAGCCACATACCGCGCGGTGCCGTTACCACCGATACAACAAGGCCTGCATGCTCCGTGGGTGACGTCACTTAGTGAGGCCTAACCAGCGGCTCGAAACGACAAGCGCTTATAGCGCTATAAGGCGACCGCGTATTTCGATTTTAGTTTTAGATCATCATTGAGCCGATTTTGCTGTTTTTTGAAGGGCTTCCGGTTAAAAAAGGATTCCAGTCGTCAACTGAGCCCTTCTTCGCACCCCATTCGATTTTATTATGGAAAAACGTAGTTTTAAAGCAAAAACCAGGATACAACACAAATATCCACCTACAGCAACCCATTCGAATTAAATATATTGGCAAAAATTGTGGTGAAGGTAAACTTCACACCTACTTATACAGGGCCCGCAGAACATAAACTTATCGTGAGATTGATCGAAAGAAAATTGTGGAAAATGTATTTTATTTTGATTGACATGCCGTTTGTTACAATTACCTATATTTATCTTGGAGATTTCCTATTACCTGAAAAAATAACCAGTGAGTGTTTTCAATTTTCTGTTGTTGGATTTTTCACCCAAGTGGATCGTTACACTTGAAACCGTAATTTTCAAGGGTAAAACTGCATTTATCATGCGATGGTTTTTTTTTGAAAATTTTGTTCACGTATTTTTGTCTGATAAACCGAATTTTATAATGAAAATGTGAACAAACCACTATTTATTGAGATATTTCAAGAAAAAGTTCGAAATTTCGCCTTCTTTCTCCCCTTGTGTTGGGGGCATTTGAAGCTACTTGCTCTCATTTTGGCATTGGACACTTTATATACTCATGATGTACTTCGATGGCACATTTTTATATAGAAAATTCAACAGGAAATATGATTTTTATGGCGAGTTCTTCATATTTAGTGAACAAGCATTCCAGATGACGACCATTTAATCAATAGTCAATCAAAATACGAGATGTCAAATGTCAATAGATTGCTTTCGAATGACATTACACACGCCATTATTTTGAATGATATTCTTCCTTCTTTTCACTAAATATGGATTAATCTCAAGAAAATCATATTTATAGTTGAATTATATAAAAATTGTCCAATATGATGAAAAAAGAAGGGAAATTTGTTTTGAATGCCATCCAGAAGACAGGTGAAAAAGGAGGTGAAATTTGGAACTTTTTAGTCAAATATCTTCATGATAAGTATCATGATAAATACAGTTTTACCTTTTTAAGTAGAGTGTTTGTAGTTCATGTTAATATGATAGTTGCAATCTGATCATTGGAATGAATTCTGCATTCATTGCCACGAGGCAAATGACCGTTTTCAGAAAGAAATTTGAGAATGAGAATTAAAAATGCCCGTTTATTATGAACATTCAAGAAAATTTCCTCGAATTCAGAGATGATTTTGTTGATTATAATATACGAATACAAAACTAACAGCACAATCAAAGCTTTTCTATTCTTCCTCTACTTATACTTTTTATGAGAGAGTAATTATCTTCTATTATTGATTCATCATCATAAATTAAGCTCTGTTTACTACTGAACTTGAACTGAAGATGGAGTAAAATCCTGGCGGTGAATTGCATATACCCACATTTTCGATAGCTCCTCGTCCAACGGGAAACTAAAAGCATGAACTTTTGAACCACCCACATAATTCCCCCAACAAAAGGGAACACAACACTTCAAAGGCATTGTTATTTCGCCGATCACAACACAAAATATTTCACAAAACAGTAATTTTTCCGCCAATTATTTTGATGAATAAACAACAAAAGAATTCGGGACCGTTTCAAAAACATACGTGAATCAGCGATGAATTAACACGAACTGACGCGTTAGTCGACAAGCGATAAAATAAAACACTGGCCTCTCTTGGTGACGTCACGAGCTGTTTACGTCAGAGTCTGCCGGCCTTGTTGTATCGGTGGTAACGGCGGTGCACTCAATCAAGACCAATCACCGTACGTTTCGACTTAATCAAACAAAAATCATCAAGTATCTGCTATGAAATGTTCTTGACACAAATAAACTTTTTTTTGAGGAGTTACCACTTTCCATGGTCCATAATAAAATTTTTCGAAAATTATAAACTATCATAAAGTTTGAGATTGGAATATGTATATTTCTCTGGATTTTTTTCTCAAAAGACCAGAAAAACCCACAGAACTCAAAGACCTTTCTGTGGAAAAACCCGAATATTGCAATCTAGAACCTTATCATATATTCAGTCTTTCAAAATTTTGGACCATGAGAAGTGGGGACAGAGAATACTTGTTATTTTTGCAGTAATGCATGCTGAAGTGCATCCTTCACCTAAATCAAACTATCACAACTGCTTAACAATTTTTTTTTTTTCAAAGAGGTAATAGATCAGTATTCCGCCCGCAAAATTATAAGATTCTGCACCCAAGAAAAATCGAGTAACAAGAACTAATGATAAACGATTTTTCAAAGACATCGCAGGAAGCTTTAAATTGAAATATCTCAAATTGATAATTGCACCCAAGCACGTAGATAAGGGAGAGGAGTGACGACAGCTCTGGAGACAGTACCCCATCCCCTTGAGACATCCATCAGTATCTACCCCCTGGAAGCATTGGAATAGAAGCAAAAAATCGAATTTTGGCTTTATGTTCTCGGTATCTGTGACAAAAGAAATAATTCTCAATGTATCTTATCCATTTTGTATATCATAACCTGTTTGGCTTTATCACACCTGAATCGGTTTCGTCTCAATATTCAATGTGTGCTGCGGAAATATCGAACGCTTGGACACATACATACCAAATTATTGGAAAAGATGATCACCTTCGAAACCCTGGTTCAACAAAAACTGTTCTAGAGCTGTTGCCTTGAATACGTTGAAATCAAAAATAACTGCAGCCAAACAATAGATGCATCAAAAGAAACATACAATGCCAAAATAAGATCAAAACTCATAGATTGTCCCTATGGTTCCCTTTCCTTTTGGTCCCTCGCTGAAGCATTTGGGAAGAACTCTTAAGCTGACGACACTTTAGCAACAACATCGCAATAGAAAGCAAACATTTTTGCGGAGAGTTTCGCAGCAAACTCAACTTACTTCTCCCAAGGAAAAGTGTTGTCAGGTATTTCAACCGTTGAAAGTCGAATGCCCAAAATCGTCTTCCGTCAACGCACTATCAGACGCATTTAGCTTGGTCTCAGGAACGAACAGGGCCAACGGTCCTTTATCCTAGGTCGGGTATTTTTTCATCTTGCTGGAAGTCCAACTAATCTCTAAAAAAGGTAATAAAAACCTGCCCAACAACTACAGGCATATTGCCCTTTTATCAGTTATTTCTGAAGTGATGGAGAAAGCCATCAACATTGAGCCTATCCAATATCTGGAAAACTCAGGAGTTATCAGTGTTTGGCACCAAGGACTCCCTCAGGAACTACCATCATACGGCTGACCACCTCAGCTATGAAATCTTATCGTGTTTTCTTTCTGGCTGATCGCCTCACGTGGTGGTGGATTGAGTTATAGCAATTACCGTTGGGAGTAGATGATAAAACTCTCCAAACTGCCTTCTCTTCCAGATTTCCCATTCATTCCCAGGGAACCAATAACCTAGTTGAATTCAACGCCACCAAAACTCAAGCCTGAGCTCAAATCTGTACTTTCTCTAGAAAGGCGTCCACTATATCTATGCTCCGAGTCCACTATATCTATTCTCCGAGTCCAATATATCTGTGCTCGGTGTTTCCATCAGCTATACTCTCTCATGGGATTATCATATGTCAGATCCTGAGAGGCTGTTCACAAAAATTCGGATTTTTGTTTCGTGGGCAAGGGTACTCGAGGCTACTTCACACCTCAATAGCTTCTCATGATCTACAATGCACAGATACAGCCAGTGCTAGAATACTGTTGCCACATGTGAGGTTCAGCACCCAAACATACCGAACACTCCATTACTATCAATACCAGTCAGACAAACTCAACAAGCCCACTCAGCACATCCTTTCGTTGTTAACCTCAAAATATATCGAACAGCACCTCATCAGAACTCATAAGGAAGTATTCCCAATAACTTATAATCTTCATTTTTCGCCATATGGTATACATTAAAACAGAAAAAAATACTAAAGTTGTAAAATCTCGATTTGATTACCCTATATATCTCTGTAATCATGTCCGCTAGACCCCAAGTGTGATTCATTGATGAAATCAGGGAGGATCTGAAAATGGAATGAAATACAGGGTGTTCCGTTTGAAATAACAAAGTGGAAAATATTCTTGTCGGATAGAGCAAGCTCGATTAACCGGGCTTACACATTTTCCAAATGATCTGTCGTTCGATCGGTACTCCAGATACGTCTATAATGTTCCATCTACCGTGAAATTCTTGTATACAAGCGTGGGAGTGGCATTATTTGAATGAGTTTGAGATATGGTTTACAGTGTCTACGACAATGAAAATTTTAGTTTTAGCCGCCTTTCAATCTCCGGGGATCGGTAACAGGAGTGTCCAACGCATCCGGAAGCCCAAACCTGCGGAAGCACTTCGTGCGAAAGGTGCAGTGTCCGGTAGTGCAAAACCATGAACCATGAAGCAGGACCCAGACAACTCAAGGTGGATTCATGCACACCGCTTTTTCACTAATCCGTTGCTTTCATTAACTGCCATCAAGTTAATTTCTATTTAAGGAATATGATACCTTTATGCACCATCTTCTTTCAATTTTAA